TAAAGGAAATTCCCTTTCAGATAGAGACCTAAAGGAAATTCCCTTTCAGATAGAGACCTAAAGGAAATTCCCTTTCAGATAGAGACCTAAAGGAACGTTGAGAGCGCTTAGAAAGGATCTCTTCCTGCCTGTGCTTAGTGACCCCCACACCTTAGTATCACCTGGGACCCTTTCCTAGACATCTATGAAATGCAGAAGAAGGGCTTTGTTGGCTTTCTCCTTCTAAAAATTCAACCTTGGGAACCGGGTGGAGCACAGCGCGGTTCTCACCCACCCAGGGTCACCCACCCAGGCGTGGAGGTTGGCATAAACAGTAACTGATTGCCACCTGGGTGTGAGATGACAACCCACTCTGAGCCCCGCCTCCGCCCAGCACCTCCCCCAAATCTGAACACCGCTGGTTTTTTACCATCACATTGTTGTCATTTCTGATCCATGAGTTGTGTTCAACTTCAAACCAAGTGCTAGGAACTGCCTGCCACAGCAAACACAGGCATTGATGCGGATCTGCTCTTCCAGAATACCTCGGGGGCCTCGTCAGATGTCAGCTTGTCGGGCGATGCTTTCTGGTTACTTGGCTGAAGACGGCTTTGTTTCACATCCTCTCCCAGTTTCCGTGCTTATAAAAGCAACCCGGTCACCTCGCACACCGGCCCCCCTGCTCTCTCCTCTATCAAAGATGGTGGGTGGGCAAGAGTCCTATAAGATTCAGCCTGTGCATAAATTAAACAAATAAGCCACGTAGATGTTGGCTCCATTCCAACTTGAAGAGATCAGGGAGGAAGAGAAGAAAAAGGTTTATTTGTTTTTAACACATCATTCCTCACCAACATCTGTGTAATTCACCCAGGGTCTGCCTGTGGAGCAAAGGGTTGAGTGAAGAAAATAAAGAGGGAGAGAAGAATGGTATTTATTTTCTTCCCTGTAAACACACACACACACACACACACACACACACACATACACACACAGCAGTGTTGGAGAGAGCAGGTGCGCAGACATCCGTCCATGTCAGCACAAAGAAGGAATGTGTCTTCGAGAAGGTTCTTCAGGGACCTAAGCCCTCTCTACCAGGAAGCTGACACTCCCCAGACTTCGGTAACTCAGGACGTTAAAGTACTCGTTCGGTGCAACATCGTCTTGCCGCTCCTCCTCCTGGGGGTTGGCAGAGGCAGCTTCCGCCTGGCCACATCTTCCAGGGGACAGAGGAACCCCAAGACAAGAGTACTCCTGTTCGCATGCCATTGTCCTGGGGCTGCTCCCTGCAGCCGGCATTCCCAAAGATCGCCTCTAAAAACAAATGGATTACAAAGTGAGCATGCAGGGGTGTTATTCAAAAGTTACCCCCTAACGGGACACCACAATGCACAGTTCTTTGAGCCCTAGGCACACACAGGGAAGCACGTGTTCTTGTCAACACCACCAAAGCCTCAACCCCAAATTTGTCAACCTTGTTAACTCAGGATTCCTCCCGGCAAGAACCCCTCCACTGGCATTCACGGTGCATTCACTGGCACGCACGCCCCTTGCTTCCTGTCCCTAGCCCCCGAGGCAGCATTTAGTCAGTCCCAGTGAATTCTCCATCCTGCCTTGGACACGGTGGACCGCTTTCATTTTCAGTCTCTTTTCCTGCTTCCCAAGACATCCCTCTTTCCTGGTTCCCCCACAGTCCTCTGCTCTCCCCACCGCCCCACCCATCTGCAACTCCTGCCTGCTCTTCCTCCTAAGATAGTTCCCCAAAGTCAGCGGCTCCCCAGGGTTCAGACCTCTGCTTTCTCCCACCCCGCACGCAATCCGCTCTCTCTGAGTAGCTTCATCCAATTTGCTGCAGCCGCCACCAGGTCCCCGCCCTAGCTCCAGCCCCCCATGCCCCACTGTTCCTAGAACAGCAATACCTAGTGACCCACCCCAAGTGCAGACTCAGGGAGGGAGTCACACACACACACACACACCCCCGCCGCCCCCACACACAGCTCCAGCCCCACCAATTGGTCCCATCCCTACATTCTCTATCTTGGTTTCTCGTACAGGCTGATGAGAAAGTTGGAGGCTAATATTCATCTCCAACCAGTCATAGATATCCATCTACCTTGAGCACTAAAGAGAAGCGAGATGGATCCCTCGCTTCTGTACCTGCCACCAGCGGCTTCTCTCTCCCCTGGACTCCCACAGCAGCCTGCTCCCACCCTCTCATCCCGAGAGCCCAGCTTCTGCATGAGCACCAGCAGAGCAGATGTTCAAAAATAAAGCTTGTCCAGGCCAGGTGACCACCTGGAGCCTTCCACAGTGTCCACTGCCTGTCCAGAGAATCCAGAGATGGGCTCTCTAAGGATTTGAAAACTCCCTAAAACATCATTTTTGTGTGTGTAAAGCTATTTTCTTCTGAATAGTAGGTCCCTTTCCCAAGGGGATGACAATGCCAAAGACAGACAAACAACAACCCCTCCCTCCCTTATGAGGCGGCACGCTCTCCTTTCCTGACTGCTTCCCTGTCCAGCATTCTCCGCCCTCTGGTACAGGCCCTGGACAGCACGAAGCGGTCATTTATTGAGAACCGGCCGGGGATATTCACTGGACTGGCATTTTTATAGCATGTCAACCACAACACTACTTTGAGATGTGCTAATAAGCAGGTAAGGTCCCTTGTCCAAAGACATAGCCAACTGGGACTCCGATTTGTCTCATTCAAAGTCATCTAATTTCCCGCCTCTCTGTTTTGTAGTCGACGTTTCCATTGCTCGATCCCTCTGTCCTCCTAAGAGCTGCGCCAGACTCCGCTCCATAGCACTGTGCTCAGCAAGTGTCTGTCCTGACGCCCTCCCGCAGGACTCACACACATCCAGCGCGCTCGGCCGTGGTTGCTGAAGTCCTCTAGAGCAGATTGGTTTACCGACCTGCGATGCCTGTCCCCAAGCCCTGAGCTGCTTCGGAAGGCTATGCGGTCTATAGATAGCAAGGGCACCAAAAAGGTCCCTGGGAACCTTTCCATGGCCTGTTAATTCCATTTTCCACCAAAATGGACTTTTGGAAGCCCCTTGTATTCCTTTGTGTAATCTCAGTGCCCTTAACAGATGCTCAAGATATATTTGAGGACTTATTTGAGGATTGAAATATTTTTTTTCTCTCTCGCTCTCATTTCTGCCCGCCCCCCTCTCCCCTATAGTCCCATCACGAAGATAACTTGATTTTTCAAGTCCATCTAGAGACTCATGGTCAGACAACAACAACTGACAAAAGGACTGACGTGTTGAATTCTGTTCTGGGAAAACAGGCTAAGAATCACATCCCTAGGAGAACATGGTAGCTTTAGGTTGTTCAAAGGCCAGCCAATCCATGAACCACAGGCATGAGCAGAGGGTCAGAAGATATCAGGATGCCAAAGCTGGGGGCAAAGCTGGCACCCTCGTACCTGGAATAAGATGGCCCTAAAGTGGGTTACTCACCCGCATCACAGTTTAGTGAGTGAATCACAATGAGCCGCAGGCTTGGGAAATCACAGCAACACACACAAACCAAATATCACTTGGCCCACACTGCACTGCCCCCGAGATGGGAAATGCCCACACTGTCATAGGCGATGCAGACGGGGAGGCGGAGGGGCAGGATGGAGGAGGCTCTGTGCAGTGATGCAGTAAACAAATACAAAACGCTAGGGGTAGAGCCACACTGCAGGCCGAGAGAGGCCCTGCTTCCTCTCAGATGCACACTAGAAACCATGTGTCCCCCTCCCTCCCCCCGAACATCCCTCCTCCTCCATTTCTTGCTTTCTTCCTGCATGTTCAGTGAACATGCCTGAACCTGGACGTACATAGAAAGAAAGGGGATGGTTGTTACGCAGCAGGTTGATGCCATGCTTACAGAACGAGGGCATCCCTTGACGTAAGCCGATCTGTTTTGAAAATAGAAGAGCTGACTCTTCCTCAGAAAAGTCAGTGTGAGTGTTGCTGCTGGTGGGTCCTCGTTCCCAATCTTGGTCAGACAGGCCAGCCTAGGCTGTTGATCTTCAGACTTTGGGGGCCTACAGAAGTCCCTGGGGAAATGCAAGTATGCCCGAGGTAGGTCCCTCGGCCCCTCCATCTGCATTCCACCCTATGTGGGGGCCTCCATCAGGCCCAAGATCAACAAGAAGTCTGCCTCTAATACCCTGATGGTATCCTTCCGGACCAAGAGAGCTGCAGAAATGGCAGCTGGGCCCTCCTCGCCTCTCAGAGAAGGGGAGGTAACCAGATGGTGGGGCTGCAGGCAGGGTCACTGCTGAGAGCTGGACACATTCTTCAGTCCTTTTCTTGATGCAAAGGTCCCCAGGGACCCTTTCGCCAATAGCCGTGTGACAAATGACATCAATGCAGCTCTGCATGATAAATCCAGGCAACAGAAATGTGTATGGAGCACTAGATTTGATGAGGTACACTCTGTGTGTTAAATAAAATGTGTACTAATTATAAAAACCACGCAGTCAACAGTCATTCATACGTGCCAGGAAAAATACTCCGCTGGTTCCTTGACAAATGTGACTTCAGTTTTACCAGAGCTGAGTTGTGGCAGCGCCGTCATGACCCTCAGCTTTCCTCGGGGACACTGAGGCGCGGCACAGTGAAGCCACACAGCGAACAGAGCTCACACCTGCATCTCTCCAATGCCAACACCCATCTTCCCAAACTCTGCACCCACCAGCCTGGGATATTCTGCATCATTGCATGTGACTGGGTGTTTGAAGAGGGATTTATGGACTTGAGTTGAACTGGAGTGATGGGACGCTTCCTTGATACAGAATTACTTCTGAATATAAAGCCCTTTTCGTATACATTTTTGAGTGTTACTGGATTTGTTTCTCGAGTCAGCCCAGCCTAACACAGTAGCGTAAACCCACATGTATGAGCAAGAGCAGCCCCCAGCACATAGCCCTGCGATGGTAATGCCAGGGCTGCAGAGTTGAGTTGTTAATGGAGGGGAAGCAGAGTTCGAGGGAAAGGTGTAGGGAAGGAGGGAGGGAGGGCTGGGGGGAAAGGTGGACAGTGATGTTAGGAGCTCGTGCTTGTGAGGTGAGTGGATTAGGGTGACCTGGGCTGCCCTGAGCCCTGGTGGGTGTAGTGATGATGCATTGGGCTGCTACTACTTTCAAGGGCAGCAGTTCGAAACCACTACCCACTCTTCAGAAGTAAAACGAGACTTTCTATTCCCAGAAAGAGTTCCAACCTTGGAAACCCACAGGGGCACTTCTGCCCTGTCCTCTAAGGTCACTATCTGTCCATTTGATTCGATGGCAGTTGAGTTTGGCTAGGCTTGGGCTACCTGAAGGTTCAAAGAAGATTCACAAAGCAAAGAGGAAACATCAGTAGCTACGCGTTTACGACATAACGAGTACATCGATGGATTTCTCCATGGTTTACACAGCTCTCCATCAATAGGTCACCTGTTCACCCAGCACTGTGATAGGAAACAAACTGGCTTATCGTCCCCACTTGATATGTGATGAAACAAAAACCTGGTATGAATAAGTACCTTCTCTAAAACCACACCCTGGAAGTAGCAACTTATTTTTCTTATTATGGTAAAGGTTCCATTCCGAGACGTGCATACATCTTCACGCGCTGTACAACCACCATCACTACCCATTCCCAAGGGAGGGCCTGCAGGGCATCGCTCCTCCTCCGATACTGTAAGCCACGCGACCCTCTGAGTGGAAGGAACAGGCACGTGACAGCCTCCTGGCCGTGCATCTTTGGCTCCCTCGCCCTGTGGAGGTCATCGGCGTCCAGCAGGGCCCCAGCAGAGTGGCCACCGGAGGCCCTGGCCCAGAGCAGACGCCTGAGCTGCGTCACTCGTGTAGGAGATGAATCACACTCTCAGGAATGTGTCAGAGTCAGAACTGGGAACTTTTGGTGGCTTCAGATTGAACCTTCCAACGCTCCCAAAAAAGGAGGCACCGGGAAAAACACAAAGAACTTAAAACATTTTTTAAAAAGACAAATACCATTTAAGAAGCCTCAGAGAACACTAAAGAACATTCCACATGGACAAAGGCAACAACTGGATGTCTCTGGGTTATCTCAGTAGAAGAACATGATGGACAGTAAACAGAAAGAGCCAGGGTGTGACAGGGTAAGGCAGGGGTCTGGGGTGCCCAGCACATGAGTCATTACCTTTCTAGACAGCGTGACCAGCCCAATGGCTACAGTACAGATGACCACAGGAACTGTGACCAGGGCTCCAAGCCAGGACATCTGGAATCCAGCGCGGTGCTTGGCCTCTAGAGGGAGGAGGACATGGTGGTTAGTGGCAGGGGCCAGAGCGAAGGTAGCCCCCATCCCATTGCAGAGCGGCAGGAACGGAGCAGGGCCTGTGTCTGTCTGCAGGACGGGAGACAGCAGCCCAGCTCTGAAGAGCTGAGCATCGGCCTGGGCCGCCGTACACCCCCGGCCTCACAACAGCCAGTGGTCATGCAGTACACTTGACACCAAGAACAGACCAGTTTAGTGCCCTCTCCCTTTGGTGGGATAGTGGTTACACATTGGGCTGGTAATCACAAGGTCAGTGGTTTGAAACCCCCAGCGGCTCTGAGGGAGCTGAAGATGAGGCTTCTACTCCCCATAAAGAGTGACAGTCTCAGAAGGCCTCAGGGGCCGTTCTACCTGTACCTACAAGGTCACTTTGAGTCAGAATTGACTCGATGACATTGTTGGGATTCATTATTTTGGGGGGCCCTTTATATGATAACATAATTTTTAGTAAGAATTAAAAAATAAAACAAATAATAACATCCATGGGGGAGGAAACACTAAAGTGAAATTGTTCTTTCATTAAATTCCATACATAATCATATCAGTGAAGAATGTGTAATTAAAAGTGTAATTAATATTCCAGTGCAAAAAAATAAGCATTTATTCAGTAATGTTTCTAGTTGCCCTTGAACAATGACCCTTTCACTAGTGTCTGGTATATTTTACATAGATAGTTACTCTGTAATCCATAAGTGGATCTTAATAAAGATGAAACATCTCTAAGAGATACTATGATTATCTTGATTCATTCGTCAGTTTCAAAAGGTTACAATTGCAAAGGAAGAAATTTCCATCTCACTATTCATAAAATCCAGTAAAACTTTTCCTATATGAAAGAAGATTCGAGTTGACCACACAAAATATTACACCTTTCAGTTTTTACTCTTGCTTCACTTTTACACACAAATAGAAACTCCAAGAGGTCAGCTGGGATGAGTTGTAAGTCTTTGTCTTTACAACCCCTGGGACATCACCATTTATTTACCATCTAGGGTTTAAAGACAGGAGTGTGTAGTCACCACAGGGGCTGGAGATACAAACTTCACCTCAAAAGTGCTTGAATGAGTCAGAACCATTTTGAACTTATTTCGAAAATGAATGCAGGTGGCCACATCCACCTGTCTTAAGAAACTGGCTGTAACACTGGAAGTTTTCAGAATTAACTTTCATGTAAAATGCAATAATAATCTTATCTTTAAAACTCAACAGTCACCAGAGAAATTACTATTTACAATTAGAAAAACTTTTTTTTTCAAGGAAGACTATTTGATCTCTGGCATTGTTTAAATTTCTGGCCCAACGTAATAATAAAAAGAAGGACATTTGGGGGGCTTTAGTGCTTTAAATTCTCTACAGAGCACACCTCCCCTTCTTGCCTGCTCTCTGTCAGACACCCCCACAACCCAGGCAAGGTAGGGCCCAGCCCTTTCCAGGGGCAGTCCGTTAGATCCTGACTGACGCATGGCGGGCCCATGGGTGTGAGAGTAGAGCGATGCTCTGTAGGCTGACTTCTCAAGGTGACATCGCCAGGCATTTCTTCCGAGGCCCCTCTGGGTGGGCTCATGCCTCTAACCATGTGTGTTGCCTGTCTGCACACTCACAGACTCCCTCCTAGGGTGGCCCTTTGTGTGTTAGTCCTGGCGATGGAGGCAGTACCCACCAGCAGTTGCCCCAGCAATCCTCAAAGCGTGTCCCCGTGTGCCAACCAGTCAATTCCAACTCATGATGACCTTGTAGGACAGAACCGAGCTCCTTGCTGAAAGCCAAATTCCTGATTCTGCTTTGAGAGGGATCTTTGAGGAATCTAGTCCAGTGCCTGAGCTGTTAGAAGCCCACTCTGTAGGCCAGGGTAGCAGCCCAGGGCCATGCAGCAGGCGCCGGCCTCACACTGCTCCTGGCCAAAGCTTGGCTGAGAGTGGGTGCGGGAGCTGGTGATGAGTCATTGCCCCCTCCATCCCCCCAAACCCCAGCACAGGAAACACTGCATTTCCCTCTAAGAAACTGCTTGCCCCCTAAGACCTAGGTCACTGATGTCAGAAAGACAGGTTCAAGTCCAGGTCCCATGATTGACCTAAGGGGTCGTGTGAGCCTCAGTTGCTCTATTTAGAGAAGCAGCGGCCAGATGAAGATAGAACAGGACCAGCCCGGATGTCGCCGTGAGTCGGAGTAAGGGTCACTCTATCGTCGACTTCTCATGAGAACGAAATGAAACGACGTGTATCAAGCACACACCTTCATTTCCCTGCCCTCCCCCTGCGCCATCCTCCCTCCTCCCAAGCCACTACCCTCAGAGGGAACGGGGAACAGTTTCTGTTTAGGTGAGAGGCCGGGAGGCCCAGGGTCCCGAGAGAAGGACACGCCCAGGACACACCCAACAGTGTGTTGTGGGTGCCATGAGGGAGGGACCCGAGCTCTCCAGGAAGGGTCTCAGGAGGATGTTGTGGATAAAGCGAGAGGAGCGGAAATAGCCCCACCTGCCGAAGCTGCCGGGGCCAAAGGTTCCCAGCAGAATCCCTCGACCCCCACGCCCGAAACTGTCCGCCTCCCCGAAAGGAAAAGAATGAACTATTGAGATTGTGGGGCACTTCGCAGACAGAAAGATCCACTCAGCCACCGCTAGCCAGCTTGGGTTTCACGGCCATGTGCGACTTGGCGCCGGCTTCTGAACAGCCACAAGCGTGCATGCAAACAAACAACAACAAAACAGCCAACAACAAACATCTGCTTTCTCTCTGGCCAGGAACCATCAACTCCAGCTGCTCAGCGAACAAGGCGCGCAGCACAAGCCCTCTGGAAGGCTGCCCTGAGCCAAACTCCCCCCACGGCGATTCTGAGATGGTAAATATTTATCCAAGCAGAACGCCTCATCTTTCTCAGATGGAACGGTTTGTGGGTTCGAATCGCTGACCTTGTGGTGAGCAGCCCATTGTGAAGCCCACCCCGCCACCAGAACTCCAATTAGTAACCCCAGAGCCCGCTGGGATCCTGTGGTTTTCCTGAGCAGCCTCATTTAGAGTCCCCACAGCTGCCCAAGCCTGAGCATCCTGCCCACCTCCCTGTCTCATCCTCTCTCACGGTCACTGCCATTGAGTCGATGCCAACTCATCAGTGATGCCCTGGTGGCTTTCCGGGACTGAAACTATTCACAGGAGTAGAAAGGCCTGTCTTTCTCCCAAGGAGCGGCTTGTGGATTCGAACTGCTGACAGCGTGCATCGCAGCCCAACACATAACCACCACACCACCAGGGGCCAAGCCTCAAGGGTACCTAAAATTGACCTTTTTCTAGGAGATGCCGAACAATCATTTAAGTCCTACATTTCTCCACCCAACCTCGATGAAAGGAAAGTTATAGTGGGAGGGCACAAAATCGTCCCCAGCTGGAGAGAGTGAGAAGCCCGGTGCACAGGAAGCTCTGAGAACCTGGGGCCCTGAGCTGGTCGAGACATCTCAGGATGTAGATAAAGCTCAAGGCAGGAAACTGCCCAGCACACGTCGACCTTAAAGATAGGACAGCTCTACATACTAGGCAGGTGAGGGAGACAGACATTCTTCTCAGACTGACCCTTGTTTGCATCGTGTAGTTCAAGCAGTTCTCCTGTGGGCATGTCGTTGACCTCAAGTTCCCTCTTGACAGCCTTTCACCCTGAGCTTATTGATAGGACTTATGTTCTTGCACTGTGTCTAGGCATTGGCTTGTGTATCATTTACCCCTAGAGGGAAAGCCTGTTTCTTTTCCTGTACCAATGACAGAAGAAGTAAAATTAAATAGTGATGATCCCAGGCCTGCCGGCCTTTCTACTCCCGTAAAGAGTTATGGTCTCACAAACCCACCGGTGCAATTTTACCCTCTTCTGTAGGGTGACTATGAGTGGGAGGAGCAAAAAGAGGAGGAGGAGCAAGAGGAGGAGGAGGACAGGCCTGGAGGAACACTGGTAGTGCTGTGGGGAAAACATTGGAAAGCTAACCTTAAGAGCAGTGGTTCAAATCTACTAGCTTCTCTGGAGGAGAAAGATGAGGCTTTCTGTCCCTATCAAGAGTTACAGCTTCAGAAACCCCTATAGCAGCGAATGACCCTTTCACGGGTGTCACCTATGACCATCAGAAAATACATATTTCCGATGGTCTTAAGAACCGAGACACCACTCCTCTATCTGTCTCCAGGAGGGCCCGCCCACATGCAGATACGCCCACATACGAGTACCCGGTGTGAAGACTGTTACCCCTGGCTACACCATGCTTCAAGACAGAATTTCATTGATTTGATATTAGAAATAAATATTTCACAATATATAATTTCATATTGTTTTTGTGATTTATCACTATGCTTTAATTATGTTCAATTTGTAGCAATGAAAATACATCCTGCATATCAGATATTTATATGATGATTCATAACAGTAGCACAATGGCAGTTATGAAGTAGCAACAAAAATAATTTTATGGTTGGTGTGGTGGGTCACCACAACATGCGACACTGTATTAAAGGGTTCGCAGCATTAGGAAGGTTGAGAACCACTGCCCTACAGGGTCATTTTGAGTTGGAATTGACTAAAATTTAGTCACTAAATGGTCATGATTGGGGGCCTGAGCCCAGATGACACAATGGTTAAAGTGCTCTGCTGCCAACTGGAAAAGGTTTGAACCCATCAGCCACCCCCCAGGAGAAAGGGTGGCAGTCTGTTTTCGTACAAATCACAGTTTGGGAAAGCCTCTGGGGCTGTTCCACCCCGTCCCATAAGAGTTGCTCTGAGTCAGAACGAACTTCACAGCAGAGGACCTGCGTTTGCCTACAGCAGCATGGCGTCCCTGGGCAGAGCCGCCAGGCAACATGCTCGACTGCTAACCAAAAGGATGGTGGTTGCAGTGCACCCAGAGGCTCTAGGAAGAAAGGCCTGGTGGCCTCCTTTCCCAAACCCAGCCGTGGACGACTGGATGGAACACGGTTCTGCGTGGACACCGGTGGCGTCA